GGATTTACAAATATAATTATATAACTAGTGCAATCAATATAAGAAACACTAATCCATTTTGCATGGGTCAATATTCTGTACTTACATCCTTCATTTCTGGATCCACCTGAAAATCAAAATAAGGAATATAAAACATCTTATTTGGAAGACCATTACATACAGAAAAGGTTATTTGTTATTTTTCAAGAGAAACAATTTCCTACACTGACATTCAAGAGTTTGTACTAATTTTTATTATCATTATTATTTTATTTATTCATCTATTTTCATTTATTATTACTTTTTTTTGGGGGGTGAGGGGGATCTAGAGAAAAGTTTTACAATTATTCCTCTCTTTAGTCCTATAGCAGCTTGTTATCTACAGCACAGTGAATTGCACTGTAGCACAATCCATTCCATTATCATGAGTTTTGCCTTGCTCAGGTCTTTCTCTCAACTTTTTGAATCACTATACAGATTAACCAATAATGGATGCATATACTATATTTAGGTAAGACTCAGGTGAAGACACATGGCAAATCGTTATCTTATATTTACTGAGCATCAGATGTTCTCAACTCTTATAAATTAGGTGTAGATCTGTATATTCCCAAAATAAAATAAACTTTCTACACAAATTGTATTAGAACTAATAGAAGGGATTGTTTAGTAAGCTGATGTGCCACATTTACATCACACTGCAAGACAGTGCAATCCCTAAAGGTTTAAGGATGTAAAACAGCATCTCATTATCAACATATTTCTATAATTTTCATATACTGTAAAATCATTACTTAAGAGTTGTGTATATTCATGCTGGAGAAGATTAACAATTCATCTAGCCATTTGGATCATGTAATCCAGTGTCAATACTGGGTGTGTGACACAGAAAAGAAAGACGGATAAGAAGAAAGAGAAAGAGGAATCATATATCTATATATTAAATGTATATGAAGGCTTTCAAAACATATCTAAATTTAAAATGCCATTAAAATTCTACATGAAAAAAATCAATTTTCCACACTTACAATTTCTTGTTTTATCCTTTTCTGAAAGAGAAAATACAAAAAATTATACATATATTTTTTGGATTGAGAAATATTGTTATAAATCATTCAAATTCACATCAAAGCTGGAAAGACATCATTTTAAGTCATAATGATCATTTTGAAGTACATTTCAGTAAATTTTGCAATATAACATCATAAAGAAGATTGAAAGTTACCAGCATGCGTTTGTGATTTGGCATTCCATTCAAGGCAACAAGAACACCTTCTTTTCCGAGTTCCCTTAACCTTTTTACATACTTCTTTTTTAACCTCTTCATCTTCTTATCCTTCTCTTCTTGACTAAGAATTCTATTCATCTAGGGAGAAAAAAAAAAATTTTCGAATGATAATGAAACATAGGAAAGTATTTTCTGCAATACTCATTCAATCAAGAGACTTTACTGTACACTCATATACATTCCCTCAATCTCTAATACACATTTCTAATTATTTCAAAATTTAGAAAATTTCAATTTATTATGAATTACAAAAATAATCTAGACTATTTTCTAAAATCATACCCAGACATATTGGGAAGTGATAAAAAAAACAGATAATATCTATCAAATTCAGAATGCAATGGTTGGCAGAGAATAAAGTGGCAATTTCTTTTGCAGGATTTGATAGTAAGCATAATGGATAGCTATGAGATTTGTAAACAACAAGGCCCCAAAACAATGTGACAAATGAAAATCTAAAACAATATTTTGAGTAATGACTTTTTTGAAATATGAATGCACTATGTGATTAAACTCACATTATCAACAACTTCCTAGTAAAATGGTTTAAAATATAAAAAACTAACCTTTTGAATTGCTGCCTCCCTTCTCTTTGCTTTTGGACAATTCTGGGGATTATATATTTGTTTCGGAAACATCTTCTCACTTACTCTTTCTTGAGGTACATACTGACCTGTACAGAGAAAAAATGTACTTTACTAACTAGTGTGATAGAATTCTACAAACCATTAAAAAAAAAAAAAAAAAAAAAAAAAAAAAAAAAAAAAAAAAAAAAAGTGAACCCATATTTTCTCCTGGCATAACAATTTGCAGACTCCATCAATTATAGTACATATCTATTGGACTGCATATCAGATTTTAAAAACTTAATGAGTTGAAAGATTCTGTTTTCACACATAAATGAGAATATAACCAGAACATGTATAAAACAGTTCCAGGTTCCAAGCTACTTTTCCAAAAAACTGGACTGCACAGGACATAGGACATTAAAGGACTCTTTGGAGGGTTTTCCCCTTAAGGGGCTATCACACAAGGGCAAATTTTCCTGTCCTTTATACATTCTACAATTTACTTTCATCATGTATCACTTAATTCCTACCACAAGAGCACAAATGCTTTAGTCTGTACATGTATTTGTAACCCACAGGAATGTCCTTCACTCATAAACCCCTTCATAGGTCCATCCAGCCAAGCTTCAAAACATATTAGTAATGTGACTGCAGAATTTTTGGAGAATACAGATCATAACTGCTCATCAGTGAGCTTTGGGTAAATAAAGCTTAGGTGTCCCCTAGTTCCCCAGATAGTGTCAAGTTCCAGATGAAAAGTTTTATCCTTTATCACAATTTTTATGATCATTTGAATAGCTATTTCTGCTTGAACTTGCTCTATTAAGATCAGTTATATCTAAAATCTCTTTTCAGCTGGATTTTTTGTGGACAAGTATTAATCCATTCAAATTTGTTGAAAGTATAGGATAAATGCATAGAACGTACAAAGGAAACAATAATTTGCTCTTGCGTGATAAGCCCTTTATTCATAACGTGAGCTGAAATAATAAGCTTTTAAAATTAAGGCATTGGAGCCATACATATGCAAAGTCCTTTCTTTCTACTAGCTGCTCACTTCACAAGGACCTAGTTATCAAGGAGGCAATTACTTGGCCTACTTAACCCATTAACGGCAGTATATTTTGAAGCCAAAAATAAACGATTCCCAGCGGCTACAAAATCGGCGGGCACGGCTGCCTGCCCACTGGTGCATGGGAGAGCGAGCCCCAATACAATGTCACACTGGCGGGACGCCCGGCAATGTTTATTTTTTCGGGAGTCTCATATGTCCCCACTATCAAAAAAAAAAATCAAGTCATGTCTATAGTATCAAAATATTAGTAGCATTAATAATACTAATAAAAATTATAACCTTTCTTTCCAAAAACTTCAAGAGATGGGGTATATAGGTCAACTCAGGTATGCTTAGTAATTGACTGCTTGGTGACTAAGCCCTTCAAGTGCCATAAATGTGTACATAAAATCAAATAAACAAAAATCAAGGGGAAAACTGATATATGCATGCTCATCTAGTCTTAAATAAAGGTAGTAAATATAACAATACAAAAACACATCAAGTAAACTTCATATATTTTTCACTTATTCTATTATATATTTTTCACCTATTCTATGTTATTTGGATTTAAGAAATAGATTAAACAGACATAACTTCAACTCACTACACCATGCATTATAACAGATCATTGATATACTTACATTTTAAAATCTTTCCTTTAACCAAATAACCATTCATTGTCTGTGCTGCAATTTTTGCAACATCTGGGACATGAAACTCCAGATAGCCATAACCACATACTGCACCAGTCTAATAATTGAAAAATTAAATACATAAGTAGGAATGAAAAAGGAGAAAAATCTTAAATCATATTCATATGTATGTGCATGCACACTAGTGTAACTGATGAACACATACACACAATAACCATTTACAGTCTTAAAAGATTTCATGACAAATATTTTAATGAAACTTCAATAACAATTTTTTTTGGCTCCTATCAAAACAAAAGAAATAAGAAAAATACAAACTAACCTTTTCACTACGTGGTACAGACACCCTTGAGAGCTTTCCAAACTGTGAGAAGAATGCCTTTAGTTCCCTATCATAAAATCCATGTGGAAGGTGAGATATAAAGATAACTCCTGATTCAGCATCCTGAAAGAATAAGAAAGGCTCAGCATGAATGTTCTGTTCCTCAAAAAGATAAAGAGAAATCTGTAACAAAATAACAGAACCCATAAATTAAATAAAATTAAAGTAAAAGTAAAAGTAAAAGTAAGAGAAAAAATCCAAATATGATAATTACAAAATCCAAATATGATAACTACATTAATTTTCAATGCACATCCCAATTTCAATTTTGTCATTGGAAATACACAATATACATTTTTTAATTCAATACAAGGGTAAAAGTTTTTGTTTCATACCTGGTTCTCAAACTAGACCATGAGTAATGCAATAAAGCTTTACTAAGGCTATAATCTCTCCAACACATTTTCTCTTCACTACACACTCTAATAATGACAGCGAGAGAGAGATAGCCTACTAATCCCTTGAAGTATTGCTCTCTGGATGTGTAATTAATTGTATTTCACCAGCTAAAAGATCTTTTAGGCCAACATCAAAAAATATATTCTTTAACTTTTGGTATATTCTTATAAGAATGACAAGTTGAAATAAGTCATTCCCCCCATCCTGCCATTTCCTTCACTAAAATAAGAATACTCATATCAGATCTACAAAAAAATATTTACACTTACCTTCTTTTCCACTGCTTTGGGGGCTTTTTTCACAATATGCTTTGTCTTCTTAATAAATTTAGGCTTTGGTTTGGCACTATTTATGACCTTCATCTTGCATGAATAAATTCACTCTTCTTCACCTGTCAAGAAAAAGAATAAGAAAGAAAATCATAAGAATTTCAACATCTTAAATAAACTAAATATTTTCTTGTGACCACACAAGTAATGCTTTCATATTTTTTCCGGATAAATGAAAATCATATTTTTATTCTTGCATACAGGAATGCCCAAATCTCTTGATGCATTTGTATAAGCTGAAAAAGTAGGTGTAAGTTCTAAAATAGCTGGAGGTTTAAAACGACAATCTTATCTATGTTTTGAAAAAAATGCTAATAAAATGTTATTCTATTCATAATTCTTTCTAAATAACATCATATCTTGAAGCATTAGTTTTCAGTAATTTCAGGTAATCTATTTCATGTATTTATCTTTTCACTATATTGCACAGCACAATATATGCAGCACCAAAGAGTAGCTGCAATGATACTGATCTTGACAGAAGGGAAGGGTATGTTTACCAGGGCTGGCCAAAAGCCTGTACTTATGTCAAAAATACTGAATGAAAATAAGTCCTTCAACTAGGTTTAACAAAAAAACTCACTACTGGGATGTCCCAAGAATATAAAAACCAGCAAGCATCATCTCTAACATAAAAAATGAGTGTAAGCCCTAAAACACTGGGGTGTTTCATAATATAGAGAACTGTAGGATATTTAATATAATACTGAATTACTGGTACCTGGCCCATACAACTTGTTCTATCACAGTTAGGCAGTGCACAGAGTGTCAGGAAATTGTTTTGATTTTCTTACAAAACATGGCACGAATAATTACAATTCCACTAAACAATCAGATGGATCTCATCTACCTGCAAACTGGTTTTACAAGAGCTCAGCCATCAAGGAGTGTATTAGTAAGCCCAAAATAACCTCATCTCATTTTACCATTCCTTGAATTATTGTGATGTTTTTCTTTTCTTTTTTTTGTAAATGCCTTTTTATGCTATTGATATTAATATTCATCATTATCATTATCATCATCATCATCATTATTATCAATATTATCATAATCATTATTATAATAACCAATATCATTTAACCCACTAGCAACGGTATATTTTGAACCCGAAAATATGCTTTCTGGGCGGCTTCAAAATAGGAGCGCGGGGCTAGCCCGGAATCATTATTATTGTTATTGTTATTATCTTTATCATTACCACCATTATTCTAATTAACATTATCATTATTATCGACAATATGATTATCATCACATTTTTAAAAGACAAACAGCAATAAAAAACTAGAAATCAAGGAAAAGGGTAAACTTGTGACTGATTCCTTGGTAAATAGCATTTGTGGAGCCATTTATGTGTAAACACAATTAACAAACTAAAATCAGTGGACATGGTATATATGTCATAAAATCCATGCACAAAAGGGTTAACCCATTGGATCTGGTTGCATCATGGAAATCATGGTCCTGAATATATGGGCAGTGGGTGATATAAGTAGCCAACATCCCAGGCATGCACAAACACCCATGAGTGATGACAAGACTTTGTACCTCCCCTTTGCAAAATTATTTTGTGTAAACATTTTTATTTAGCTTTTTTTTTTGCCATTTTCAATGTCCATATTTCTCTATTGATTTGCTTTATCCAGATGAAATTTTCCTTGCACAGACTATGTAGTCAATAACTAACTGAAAGAAAGAAAGAAAGATTGATGATGATGATGATTGATGATGATGATTGATGATGATGATTGATGATTATTGATGATGATGATGATGATGATGATGATGATGATGATGATGATGATATTGATGATGATGATGATGAAGAACACTTGGTTATTTGTTACATATCTTATTTTTTCATAATTTTCAATTTACCATAATACAACTTGCGCCGCCAGTCACAACTGACAGGAATAAGGTGTGCAGCATGGAAATGGCACCCTCCCTGGAGCTAGCCCTCTTCTAGTCACGGCCTCCACACATTACATTCCACATTCGTTTATCAATGAGAATAATGCTAAAGCCACCTTCTAAGTGCCAAATAGGTAAATCACACTCCAAGAGGTTTGTGCACTCATGGCGAGTCTTTTCCATCACCCTGGCTTTCTCTCATGACAGCAAGTTCGCGTAACCCGGCCCACGGCCATCTTGCCTGACAAAGGCATATTTACATCACCCAGCCTTCGCGTATCACAAAGGGGAGTCCCATCCACGACTTCGAGATTTTATCCGGGCTTTCTCTCATGACAGCAAGTTCGCGTAACCCGGCCCACGGCCATCTTGCCTGACAAAGGCATATTTACATCACCCAGCCTTCAACCTATATTTTTCCATAACGGGACCATAACATCATACATATTGTAGACATTAAGGTAGGAAACTATCTGCATCAGTACTGGGCCCAAATATTTACTTGAGCTCTGTCCTACCAGATTTTATGGTACAGGGAGAGGGTTGGGGTCAGCAACCCTTTCCTGACTTTTATTTTAGTAGGCAATGCCCTCTATGTATTATGAATGTGTATTATCATACAGATTTGTTCTATCCTGCTTGAACAAATACAAGATTTTTTCAACTTTAGCATGATCCCAAGCAGGTCTGAAAGATGCCTGTGTAAGTGACACTGTATATGGCTCAGTTGAGGGAATTATTTCATATCCAAACCTTTTTGGCACCTATTTTCTTAGTCTCTGATGTTACTTTCTGCTTGCACAGATTATTTCTTGAATCAGTGAGGGTAGTTTATTCATACTCAATATGACTGTCATTAGAACTTCCTTATCTTTGTGCAATCACTGTTTAAATGTATAATGTATGAATACAACACTGACTACATAACTTATTACTGCAATAGGTCCAGTAGTTCACATTTTACTATGTGTTTATGAAATTTATATATTTAAAATTTTCAATGTCTCCTTCCCCACAATAATGCATACTGCATATTGTCCAACTTTTTAACAAATTGTAGGCCATGATGGTCCACTGCTTACAAAAGTTCGCTGGAAACCGATACAGTTTATAATTATCCGCTCTTGCAACTCGACCATGATTATTGCATTACTAATATAGTTATTTGAGCATGCATTTCTTACAGCTCTTGGTAGACTCCATTCCTTGATAAACCCTGGTGAGAAATATTTTGTTTACATTATTGTGACGCTTTATGTTATACTTTGAACAATATAACCGCTATAATATCTCTTGCCCTACCCACCCACACAATCTTATAATATTAACCAAAACCATTATAATTTCACATACGACACCATAAGGAATCCATCAATACCAAAATTGGTAATTTTCTACATTACCTTCGCCTCTTCGATATCGACAATTTTGGTATCGTTGGATTCCTCTCACTCTGTACAATCCAAATATGTAGTTTTTAATGCACGGAAACCCCCCGTTAGCAGCAAACTTGGCCCCGATAGCAGGGGCAACGAGGTCGGAGCGGCGGACGTAATATAGAAAATTACCCTAATAATAAATCCCACAGTGGAAATAACCATGGTTATTCACGTGACTTTCTACTGCAGGGGGCTGCGCCCCCTACAAACCCCCTAAGGGGGGGGCTACCGCCCCCCAACCCCTGCCGAGGACACAAAATATCCCCCACGTATTCACGGCAGGATAGAGCGCACACGAACTAGATGCATTGAAAAAGGCACAAAACCCGCCGATCCGACGAGGGCAGGTCATCGCCGCTCTTCTGTTCATGGTATACCTTGTTCATCCTGATTATACTACAATCGTATCTGTATACAATGTTGACTATATCAAGGTTAGTATGCTGATTCAGTGGGAATGTTAAGAGGTAAATGTAATACGTCCACCGCTTCATGATCGCCGA